AAAGAGTTTTTTTTAAAGTCCTAAAATGAAAGTCCTTTTCAGGGAAACTTGCTTGTTGATGACAGCTCTGGTCCTGTTGGAATCAATGGGACCAATTAGGCTTAAAACATATAATACTGCTGAAGTGCTTTTGGAACTGGCACCAAAAATTGAAGGAAGAAGCAAGCTTTCACCCTTCACAATGTGCCTTTAATCACTCTGGTTCTGATGAGTTCCTTAAATGCAAGAAATTAATCGGAACACTCTATTAGTTGTGGGTAAACCACAACATCAGTAGATAAACATCAGCATGTTTATGTAGCCGTTTAATAAAATGGAAATGTTTGGTTGTGGTTTTTAGTTCACGATTCAATGTGTTAAACGTGTATTTCTCCTTATGACTTCTGCTATATGATGACCACAGGCCAATAAACATGTTAATTAGTCTTTAAAAAAATAGCAGCAGTAGCTAAAAAATAGGGATATTTTTTGTGTAATTATCATTTGGAATATCTAAGATTAACTGTAGTTTCAGTAGCTGAGTGCATATGAAAATGCTGAATTTCATATCCCCAAGAGGAGAAACATTTCAATATATTTTAGGTTTAAGTCTGGTTTCTAAAATCATTAAATGCTCCTGAAAATTTCCTTACCAAAATTTTGTAATAATGTGTCTATTGGAAACACTTAATGGCTAAAGAGAATATAGCAGAAGTGTATGAGACGTTTGGAAAGCAGTTTTTAATGAAGATAAAACGGCATACTGGTAGGACAAAGGGCATAAAATTTAAAAAATACTTAATGACTTTCATGAACTTAGTAAGTCTGTCTTTTTGTGAAGGAGGGATTTGGAAATGCAAGTTAGATACTTTCAGTGTTGTATTTTTATGCATTCTGAACCAAAGCTGATTTACTTTTAAGTGGTGTCTTTTTAAGCATTTTTTTAGTTCTTGCCTTATATTTTAGGGCTAAAACACAAATCATTTCAGTGGGTCAAGAAGTGCAATATTAAATAGTCCTGAGCACATACATAGTTGGGGCATTTGACAATTGCTGTGGAATGGAATTTTCTTAAATACAATGTGAAGAATATGGGTGAATTCAGCCCAAAGGTTTAACTGTGCAGAGGTTTCCAGCATAGCATTGGGTTTTCCATTTCAGCTACCTGGCCCAGGGAAATCTTGAATTTCTTGTGAGGGAAACGTAAGTGGGCATCTTCTGCCCACTGCAGACGTAGCCTTCATAGCTGGGTCAAAGTTTTGTGATTATTATATAAAGGGAACATATTTGGGAAGGCTTTTCTATGTCTTATTTCCTTCTGTTTCCCTAAGCAAAGGGTCTTTCCTATCTTTCTGTTGCTTTGTTTAACCAGATATTTGAATCAGGTTTTATAAAACAGCTGGATTCTTTATTCAACCACCTTACTAATACTAGTTTTATGAATGCTCTGTAAGGTACATTGTGTAGGCATTCTGCAAAAGCCTTTGCATGTTCCCTTTCTTGATGAGCGAGATTGCATCTGTCTTTCTGTTAATTAAATCAGAATTAATATACAGATTCACTGAACGTAGCAGAAGGTGCATCACTATTGTGGACATGAACCATTAAAGTGTTGGATATCCCGGATGTGTTAACCTCAATAAATATTTGGAGTATTTCCTTTTTGCTATATTTGTCATGACAGGAAGTGCAAATTGGCAGGAGGTGTGTGTTGGGGGGATGCTTACAACAAAACTCTACATCTGTTGCCACGTAAAAGTTGTGATCACTATTGATGTCATATGCTATGTCAATCTGTGCTGCTCATGATTTTCTGAACATATATATGGGTGGCCGGAAGAGTACACTTCTAGACCAGATCGCAACGTAAATGTGCATAGCACCATTGTAGCATCTGTATCTGTTGGGTGGATGGTGAGATTAGAAAAACCACAAAACTGTTTTGCAGTGTTTCAGTTCACTAGATAGGTGTTCATTAGAAGTGTGAAAACACTACAATTTCTGATGGTTTCTTTCTGCTGCTAGTGATGCATCTCTTAAAACAGGCAGTAAAAATGCTTGTTTGTGATTCAGTCTGTAGATTTCAGATGAGCAGTGGAGGCTAACGTGTCAAGAGGAGAAGATTTGATCGATTCACACTTATTTTCTTCCCTTCTACTAATGTAGCAGCATGTCATGAAATAGCTGGCATAGTGCATTGCAGAGCACATTGCATTTCAGGGATGCTTAAAGTGTCTGTCCGTGTCACACTGTAAAGTGCTTTGGGAACTAACCCACTAGAAATGATGATGATTTTGCAGGAAGCGGTATGATAAGGCTGAGTCGGAGTACGTGGCAGCCAAGCTGGACCTCCAACACAAGACAGAGATTAAGGAGCACCTCACAGAGCACCTTTGCACGATCATACAGCAGAATGAACTCCGCAAGGCCAGGAAGCTGGAGGAGTTAATGCAGCAGCTGGAAGTGGAGGCAGATGAGGAAAATCTGGAACTTGAGATAGAGGTGGAGCGGATGCTGCAGCAGCAGGAGGCAGAAGCAGGGAGACAAGCCAGCCAGTCACACAATCATGCTGGGACAGCTAAGGAAAACCCCACTGCCAGTGTTACGGCACGGGAGAGTGAGCATGCTAACTGTGCTGTCGCTTCTCCTGCTATTTCTGAACAGTTGGTTCAATCTGAAAACTCCGGTACTGAATCCCTCTCCAATATGGACAGCCAAACTCTCACAGTAAATGTGACTCCAGGAAACCCCCCAGCTTGTTCTGATACATGACTACTATATCCACATAAGCCAGACGGTTATGGATGATATGCTCTCTGCAGGCTTGTGTGCTGTATGTTATATCTGGGTTTCTGCTGTGCCAGTAATACGCACTTCATTTCTCTTTTCCTTTAATACTGTTTTCAAATTTTAGAGGCTCTTTTTTTCCACAGGACTCTCATTTGGGGTTCACCATCTGTCTTCATCATTCTGGTTTAAGTTCATGTTCTAATGCCCAGCTCTTCATGGGGCTTTGTACCTTCCTGAAACAGGATGCTTGGAAGCGAACAGTAGGCTTTTCCCAAAGTCTCTCAGCATTTTGATATCACAGATACCTGTTCCAAGCAGTGTGCAAGAGATACGTATCTACAGGAGGAAACACCACGACTTATTCTGCTTCTGAACAGATTCTGTCCTCTGACAAGTGTGATAGGATGTTTGTCTTCCTTTGTATCTGTAAGGGATTAGTTTTCAATGTTTTTTAATCCTGTGACACCCAAGTGCTTACTTTAATTATCTTTGTAGCTGATACTTATTCCTATACCTGATGTAAAGGAAATTCAAATATTGAGGCAAATTGCAAAGTCAGTTGTAATATTTCCTTTTTATCACTTTGCCCATTTCTTTCAGATCATGCTAAATCACACAAAGCTATATATTGATAACATTATCTACAAAATCACAGCAGCTATGACTTAACAAAAATTAAGCTACAGTTTAAGATATTGCAGAATGTATGATGTAGAAGTAGAAACACACAAAAGGAATTATTTACAATTAAAGCTGTTCCATTACAAACATTTTTCTCTGCCCTAGTTGCCTCAAAGTTCCAATAATTAGCCAGGGATCTTGTAATGAATAATCCCCACTGTATATTGGAAGTGAGCCTAATTTCGTATAATACTTGGTGCATTTTCTTTCCTGAAGAGTGGGTTTGTACCCCACAAGAAGTTCAGCTGTTTTGCTCTGTTGCTGTTGAAAGGCTTTAAAAAGCTATTCCAGGTGGAGAAAGTCTCGGGAATTAAAATAAAGGATGTAGGAAAACCTCCCATAGACCGATGCAGCTGCAAACTGTGGGGACAGTGTTTGTAGCTATCCACTTTGTAACAGAGGAAGGCTGCTTTCATGGTGGAAATGGTTTCTGTAATACCTGACCTGAACGTGTCAGTCAGAGTTTGTGAATGAGTTACTGAATAACACGGTCAAGTATATATATGGGACACTGATTGTCTCTATGGCTTTAATAGTGGAAAAACATGTCACTACATTTAATTTTTATTCTATTAATAAATCAGTGCATCTTCTACACAGTGTGTTTACTTTCAATTGTGATACCTGATACTAATACCCATATCCAAGACTGTTTTTCCACAGGAGGTGATAAACGACAATATTGGGTATGTCCTTTGGCAACTTTCTGCTGCGTGAAAGTAAAACTCGTTAAAGGCTGTTCCAAAATACAAAAACTTATGAAGCGAAGACATGGCAGGATACAGCTTGGCAGGAATTTTTTCAACTAAATGTGGCCCAAGGCAGCAGTGGAAAATCTCTACCGGTGCCTCCCATACACAGGAGAAAGAGGGATAAATCTGTTTCGTAGAGAAGCCACTCATAATCAGGGCTGACTGAAGTTAGAAAACTCCAAAGTAATGTTTGAGATACGTATGAAGCATTGCTCTGTTGTTGCTGATACACTGCATTCCCTGTTATTTTGCTGGAAGACCTGACCTAAAAGCAGAGGATTTGAATTTAGTGTGAGAAAATTGTCACTGACTTCCTTTGCTCTGTCTGCAGTTGCAGAACAGCTTGTAGCAACCTCATTATGGTTTTCAAAACTGGATACCAGTTAAGTGCAATAATCATTTAATTGTACCATTCTTGTTTCCATCCTCTGCAGCTGTCCCCAGTTGCTCCTCAAGAGAATCTTAAGTCCTAGTGAATAGGTCTGTTCCTCATTACAGTTGTATTCAGCTCATCAGGGGACATACAGAAGAGCATCTGACAGAAGAGTTGAATTGTAATGGTATTTACAGGAAGCACATGCATACCATTTTGCATATAATTTGTGGTTCTCTAGTAGGCTAAAATGTTATTAAAATAGTCCTACTGATTGCACCTTGTTGTTATGGTTTATTCTTCAAACTCCTCAAACCAAAGAAGACAAAAAAACATAACTCCAAAGATCTTTTTGACATCTACTTAAGAATCTGAGTTTCCTGGAAGGGAATGAGTTTATACCCAACAAAATCACTTAAAAGCTGAAAAATTCTTGTGTACCGTCGTGATAGTGCTGGCACTGTTTCTGCCTGACAGGGAAGATGCTATTGTTAGAATCAGCAGTTTCTGTTCTCTTACAAGTCCCTCATCGAAGTTCTGGGCAGTTCTATCTGTCTTTAACTTCTGAGCTTGCAAAATTAAGTGAGCTGGCTGGAAGCCACATGAAACAGCCATATGAAATAACAATAGGCAGCCTAGCATTTGGTCGCTCTCTTTAGACAGGGAGCTCAAGAGTTAAATTGTTTGATCTGAGTTATGAAGCCTTTCTCTGACGTGTGATATAAACCACTACCATGGTGTCAGTTCCACTTTGGAAGTTCGCAAATGTTTTGATGGGTGCCAGTGTGCCGGTTTAACATTCCCCCTATGCTGGAGCCAAGCAGTCCAGTCATAATTGTAACAACATGTGTGCTGGTCAGAAATGCCAGGAGATGATTTTGGTGCAACAAAAGGGTTGGTTTTTTTCCTTGTTTTTCCTTTAAGGAAAGAGAACAGTTGGAATTGAGGCTCTTCAAGCAAAAGCCATTTCCACCTTTGTAGTAGTTGATGCATCTTACACTGTTTGGCTCTGCTCTCACTGGAATGCATTGAAGGCAGGTGCACTGTCTGCTCAGCTAGTATGTTGTATCTTCAGAAAAAAGGAAAATCTGTAAGTTCAGTGTAAGTCAGAAATGGGTTGGGTGGACAGATTTTTAAGTGAAGGCCTCTTGCAAGTAGGGGTATTAAGTCTGATTGCGAAGCATGCTGGGGCTGAACACCCATTGGCAGGGAAAATAGAGCAACAGGTGATACCTGACAGTAACACTGCAGGGCTCATTACAGGGGACTTGTGTTCTCCTGTGGCAATGTAGCCATTTCTGTGCTGGGCCACCACATTACCATTATGGGAGGAAGTGGAAAACACTGATATATACCACTGTGAGAATGTTGCAAAACACAATATAATTGCCCATGTTGCAGTTTGGCCAGGATGTCGGGATTAACACTCCCTCCTTCTGTCAAGAAATGTTTAAATGAGCGCAGATGGTCATGGCTCAGCCTGGGGTTCCCATGGACGTCTAGTGCATGGTGTAAAACACTTGGACAATCCCCAGTCTGATTGTATATCCAGCCAGCTGAAGTGGGCTCTCAAGAGGTTTCAGCTTAGGGTAGCTGTCTGGGGAGAGACTCAAGTTCTCTGTCAGCCATTCTTCTTCCTAATACCTTCTGCAATGCAGTGGAGTCTTCCCTTTGAGCCTGTATCCCATCGAAACAGAATGAGGAAAAACTAGTAAGAGTGAAAAGTAGTGACTGGGCTAGTGGTTGTGGGTACTGTGTTTTCTGACCAGCTTTATTAAGAACATGCTAGAAAGGATTGCGTATGGGAAAGTTACCCTATTCTGGGGAAGTTCTGCAGCCAAAGAAAGGGGCAGAGCACTATTGAATTGCCTCCCATGCTGGGATTCACTCCATTCTGCATTTTCAACTTAGGACAGTAGGATCTGTAGACTTTCTGTTCCTGACACCCTTTTCTCACAGTTCAAACTTTGATCAAAACCCCTGTGATATGAATTGTCCCAACCTGAGGCCTCATACTTTACGACATGCCCCTTATGCGGGATCTTTGAGCAGCTGGTGATCATGGACCGAGTTTGGTACTTTGGTGCGATTCTGTGTAGACATAAGCATCTTGGGTCTCCATGCTCCACTCTTGGGCATGCCATAACTGTGTATGCAGTTGCTGAGAGCTAGGTAAAATTTTTCTGCAGGCCTGATCCAACCCAGAAATCATATGTTCAACACTTTGGTATTATATCATGATTCCTTTTCTAATTCTGTGGATATAAGCAGGTGTGGTGCGCAAGGGACAAAGGGTTTTGCCAGTGGCAATGCAAACAGGGTATAGAGATGTGGGCTGGTATAATAGAAACCACATGCTTGTTAAGTGCCCTATTTAGGCTTGTCTGCATGGTCCTATTAAAGCAAGTGTTGGCTCCTTTGATGGGGCACGAGACTGGTTTCCTTCATCATCCCCCCTGATTTATGTCCCAGCAGCAAACTTGTACGTCAGTGGGGAAAGACCAAGTAACGAGAGAAGTTAGCCAAGTCTCCCCCCCTCGGCATGATAGGGCATCAGATCCTTCAAATCCTTGCCTTTGGCAGCCTGTTAGTTACAGGGTTTAAATCATGCCTTTTAAGACACAGGTAGAGACTCTAAAAAGCTTGTGCCTTTCTGAATTAGGGCCTGGATTGTGTAGTTAGAGTCATTTTCTCAATTAGCTAAACATAAATCAGTATAACGAGGCGCTTGGGAGCACTGGGCAGGTTTAGTACCTTGTGTCTCCTGCCTCTGTCCATACCACTCCCACCTGCTTGTTCGACTGATCGGCCAGTGATTTTATTTTTCCATGCTGCTAGAGCCGAGCAGTGGGTTTTAATGTCTGAACTGGTTTTCACACCTGGCACATGTGTGCGAGAGGTGAGAACTGGAAGAAGTTGCTCTTATGCAGTCAGTGAAGCAGCCCTCATGCGTGGCAGAGATCTGGCAGTCTCAGCACCCCATGCCACATCATCCTTCAGAGGATGGGGACAGTGTCCTCTTGAATAGGCAGTGGTGGGTGGTGGCATGAGTGCAGGAAGTCTAGCGGCAGCTGGGATGCCATTTGATGTGATACTGGACTGGAAAGCAAGTACAGGGGCCAGGCACTGCGTTTGTACTCTAGAGCTGGGTAGCCAGTCCATGACTCCCTTTGACAGGGCTACACCGTGTAAGGGCTGTGCTGTTTTCTGGAGACTGCTGGATTATTGAGATGGGACAGATTGCCCTGCAAGCCCAGTTCAGCCCAGTCCTCTGGTGGAGTGCTGGGATCCATTTGAGCAGGCAGTAAGAGAAAAGCTTGGAGGTTCCTCACAGCAAAGAATGAAACCCAAAGAGGTAGAATAACCCATTTTGTGCCCTGTGATATAAATCATTCAGTGTGAAAGCTGCAGTGCCAGGGACACCTCTTCAGTCTCTTGCCTCTTGAAGAATGGGGGAGAATGTGGAAAGATGGCTGGATGAAGGAAGGGAATTGCTGTTCACCCAGACCATGCACAGGCTGAAGCTGTGGCCCTTCCTGAGTCTGGTTTTGAGGGCTGGAGCGGAGTAAGACTAAAACACCCAAACCAACTTTAATTGCTGTGTGGGTAATAAAAGTGAAACATGGGTCATAAATAAATCCCTGAATGATGGGCCTCTTTAACTTTCCCTATGCAGGGTTTCTTGCTTTTCTCTGAAGCAGTTGGCAGTGCTGGTGATGTACCTGAACATAAGATCACCTGGTGTGATCCTCTCGTGTTCTTGTTATCAGTGCTGAATCTGACCCTTCAAATGTCTCTCTGATGTTTCTTTTCTCTGCAGTGAGCAGTAATGGGTCTTTGTTCTGGTTTGCGGGTGTTCCCTGTTCAGGCAGGGCCAAATTGAGCCCAAGATCTCAGCCTACTCATTCATTGGGAAGATGTTGCTCTGCACTCACTGTGGCTTGGGAACTCTCAAACAAATACTGCAGTGAGGTTATAATGGACCAGCAGCAGTTAGGGTCTCACTGACACACATCCGGAGCAGCTCCAAATGCATAATTGCTGACCTCGTGTTGCTTCTGCATTAGTACCTAAAAGTCCTGAAGGAGACCCCATTGAGTTATTTCACATACACAGCTTCCTCCTTCAAATAGCTAGTAAAGGCGGTAGCAGAACAAAGAATAGAGTCACTCCACGAGCTTCAAGCTTAGCAATGTCATAAGGCATCTTGCTAGCAATCGGTATCAAGTGAGGCCCTGGCTGCACTGCAGTCATAACGTCCAGCAGCAACAGTTATATACCATGTAGCTAAAGGGCAGCTGACCTTGACCATTGCCTCCACATGGCTGTGGACCACCATGTCCCCAGGAGAGCTGAAGGGATTGGAGGGCCCTGGGAGTCATTCCTAGGCAGCAGATAAGAGCAACTCACTGTTGGTGTGACTCCCTCACTAAAGGACAGAGCTAGGTATCCTGCAGATGGTATCTCAGCAAGCCATGTTATCTTACTTGCTTCCTTTCTCCATGTGGAAGGGTAACTCTCTGCACTACCACAGCCTTAGGAGCTCATGAGCCATCAGTCCAGTGAGGTATCCCACTAGAAGTGTTTGTTGGCTGTGTATGGTATGGCTGAAGAGTCACAAATTGGCTGTCCCTCAGATTGTTAGTTTAGGCAACAAAAACTGTAAACTCACTGGAGACCCATGCTGTGAGCCTGTGCTGAAATCTGGGCATACTCACTGTCTTTGCAGCGTGAGCTAGGTAGAGTGAAGCAGCTATGTCTTTGCAGGCTCGAGTCACTTTTCCCATTCCATTGTAGACAGATCCTCTGTCCTAAGGAAGGGTTAATCCAATTCAGACATCATCTTCTTCAAGTTTCCCAATTTGGATCTGGATTAGGTTTCTGAATAATACCCAAAACCCTGCGTCATGTTTTGAGTCAATCTGTAGCTGTTTAGGTGATGACTCTTGTTGCTGATTGTGCATATTGCATTGTCTCTAGTGCTGGTGATGTCCTAGAGGTTGTGTCTCTGGCTTCGCTATCGTGTGAGCTGCAGCTTGGTCCCACATTTTGGTGGTTAGCTTCATGGCAGGGAAGATGATAATATTTGGCATGAGGATGTGCTCATAAAGAACAAGGTCCATTCCAGCATTTTTCTAACATGCTTCTCTGATCCTCCAGGAAGAACATCTTGCAACTGTTTTAAAAAGTCAAGCCTGGTTCTCTGCAGGATTTTTTCTTGCTTCCAGATTATTTTTTTTTCCCCTGTCTGCTCAAATACCAATTGTTTTCTTTTCTGCGTTCCTCAAATCAAAATATTTAGTGATGGACTTTTCTTCATAATATCCCACTGCATCCCTTCACTACTGAAGAGTGTTCATCAGTCTCACTGACATTAAGCAGTTCTGCAGGAAACCAGCACTGCCAAGCAGGCGGGCTCCCGCTCCTGGACTTGCTCAGCATATCTGGTATTGTCAGTGACAGTCCCTCTGATGTTCTCACTGGCAGAACCTGAGAAGCTACTTTCCATGGCCTGGCAGTTGTACCAGGTCATGCCTGGACACTCATCATGCTCCCTTCTGGCCTTGACACCCACAAAGCTAAATCTGTGTTTCATAGGGGGGGAATCACAATACGCTTTTCAAGGCCTAGTCCATCTCCTCTGTCCCAACTGCCCACAACACTGGATTCTTTCATTACTCAAACACTCCCAAGTCACCAATATGTTTTCTCCTTCTGTCCTTGAACCAGTTTCCCTTCTTCCTTTCAGCAGCTGCTGAAAAACTTCCTGGGCCCATCTTTCCTGCAGACTAGGCAAAATACCAGGGCTCCTCAGAGCCATCAGGCTGAGCAGAAGGTGGGTGAGCACAGGGTGGTACTGGAAGTGCTTTGATTCATAGAATTAAAACTCAGTAGGATTAAACTCACCACGAGTTTCAGAAGCCCAGGTCCCTGCTGCTCTTCCTACTTCTCACAGGCTTTGGGGTTATCCATGTTCACCGTAACACCCTAAATGCTTGCACTCAGACAACTTTGCTTTCAGCCACCACCATGTCTGCAACCCCAGAGGTGGCTGTTTTGACTTGGTCACCTCTAGCCAGAGGGAGACTTCCTGATGGGGGCGAGGGCTGGGGAAGGCATTTGGGATGGCTGCCATCCACAAACACATCAAAGGTGTGAATGGCTTTTATCAAGAGGCAGTAAAACTTTAATCCAAAGCCCACTTTAATGTATTTGCCACGTATTTAAAAGGGAACTGATTTCAGAAATGCTTTCGAGAGTTTTAAAAATTCCCCTGGACCTGTGTCTTACAACTCTCTCCACTCTGGAAACCTGATGCTTTTGTTTCTGGGATCCCAGATGTTCGGGACTCATGACTGAGGGGAGAATGAGAACTAAACTATTTCTAAACCTCATCTGAAACATGGTCACAAATGGCTTTTTTCCTAGCTCTAAACCTCTGTTAAACTCTGATTTTTTTTTTTTTATAATGACAGACCACGCTAGAAACAATACCACGTCCTCAGTCAGAAAGTGAGACATCTTCCCATTCAGTTGTCAAAAATCCCTCATTTCCAGCTCAGTAAGGCTGCAATACACTCGCCTTTTGACCTGTTGGGGTGCTTGCCTCTAGTGTGAAGCTTTAGGCCAGTCCTGTTTTTCTGGAAGAAATCTACATTTAGTGTGGAAAACAGGAGCAATTCACTGGCAAGATCAGAGGAACTGTAGCCGTTCTCATTTTCTTTCTTTTTTTTTCTTTTTCTGCAGGAGAGTTTACACATCACTGCTTTCATTTGGAAAGGGCAAGTGACTTTCCCATGCCGTAATACCCAGCAAGTGTTGAGAGAATGTGGTTACATAAAACCATATTTTTAATACAACCGACAGACTGTCTTGAGAGCTAAGTGTTTTTTGACAGTTTTTATGCACCTGTTAATTCAAAGCTCTTAACATGTGCCAGTTAAAAAGAGCCAGGCACTAAAACATCCACCCTGTGGACGGCAGGGGCTCAGCTGCACACCAGAGCACAGGGAATCCATGCAAGGTAGAAACTTGGCTTCTCTTGCGGGACCAACTGGTACACAACTAATTCAACTCGGAGCTTTTGTTTCCCAGTCCTGCTGGGCCTTGAAAATTCCTGCTTCTGCTTTGGACCTGAAGAACAGCTGATGTTTCTCTGGGTTTCTTCTGCTTGCTTTTCCCAGCTATTGTAGTTATCAGAAAGAAAAGGTGCTAAACATCCTGGCAGGGCTATGTCCTCAAAAGAGATGCACTGACAATACCTCCCCAGGCTCCTCCACTAAATTTGTGCCTCATTATTTTCTGGCCAGTGGGGTTGCTTCTTATAACCAGTGCTGAGACAGGCCTTGGCAAAGCCCAGATGGAAACCTGCTGCACAGTTCTCCAGCATGTCTGCTTGGGTATCACCTCCGCAATCACTCCATGCTCAGAGGAGGTAGGTGGTCTGTTTAGATAAAGTCTTGCTATCAATAACATAAAGTAGGGCTGGGAAGTCCTCCTCCTCGTCTCTAAAATTTTCCTTCCTCTCCAGCCCTTCAGTATTACCAAACTCTCAATTTAGAGATTTTCTAAGGGTCATTTTAAACCTCTCACAGCCAGATCTTCCCTCCTTCTTCTAGGGCTTTCTCCGCATGCTCTATTGGCTCACATCCCATCTCCATAGAGTTTTGGCTGGCTGTCCACACTGTGGATCACCTGGTGGCCTTATCCCTGTGGAGAAAAGCTTGAAAACTCAGCACCATCTAAAATAAAGGCTTGAAAAAAACAGAAGGCAGATACAACAAATACAAGAAAGCTTAAGAATTTTAAACTTGCAGGTACTGACACAGGAGTTTCTGTGGTAAAAATGACAGCTAACCCTGAAATGGGAGGCCGCTTGTTGGTTGTGCAAGCCGTAGGCATTTACGACTGTGCATTTGGGATGAGTTACTGTGTAAGGCGGGGTTAGCATGCCACTGCCACTTTCCTGCTGTATAAACTTAGTCAAGCTTAGTCAAGCTCTCACCTGATCATAGCACTGCCTTTGGGAGATGGGGCCATGTCATCTCGAGAGCTTTCCTTGATCTCAAGGCCAAGAGGCATGATGACAGACTCTAGTGTTAAGCCCAAAGCTTTGGCCTCTGAAGAATCAGGGCACAGCAGAGAGGTGTGTGAAGGCCAGGGGCAATTGTCCTCTAGGGTTGGAGATACGGGTTGCAGAGGGAGGGAAAATGGCCCTGGCATCATTTACATGCCAGGCCTGTTGGGGTGTTTAAGGTAAGCTGTTATGAAATGGAGCTGAATCCAACACTGCTATCCTAGCTGGGTTACAAGTGGGCAGCAGGTTTGCCTGTGGCAATGAGGGTACCAAGAGTCGGCCCTCACCCCAGCTGAAGGGGAAGGCGGTCTCAGAGGACACAAGAGCATTCATTTGGAGGACAAGCATGCCTTGGTACATCCTGCATGTTGAGCCCTAGCTGAGATCACTGCAAGGTGTTTGGTGGAGCTGATGGGACATGGAGGACATATGTGATGTCTGTAGCTGAAGGTGGGAGAAAGCCCTGCTAGAGCCTAGCCTTGAGCACAGAAGGTGTGCTGGATTCACATGCTACATAATGTAGAGCCTCAGGTTAGTGGGGACCTGCCTGGAATTACAGCTCCAATAGCCTGGACAGTTGGCTATGAGTGGGCTCTATTGCCAAGAGCACATCAAGGGCTGCTTGTCTTATACACTGTTCAGAGCTGATGGCTGGGACACTTCCGCTGGGTGGTTTTCTGTAGTGGTGCTGAACATCAATGTTCTTTCTTGCATCTCTACTAAGAGGCATAAATCCCTTTCCCTACAGGCTCTGCTTGTAGGCCTGATTGCTTGAGAGTGGGAAAGCTCATGAATAACTTGTCAGGATAGTATTAGCATCTCTGAACACTGCACGTGAGCTTGAACGGACATCAGGGGTTTTTTAATCAGGAAACACTAGGTGAGGGCTTGTCAGGGCAATAGATGGGGCTAGGATTCCACATCATTAACACCCAGTCTGTATATTGCAAAATCACCTGGCAGGACAAATATGATCCAGATCAGGTGTGTGCACACTGTTGCTTTGTGTTGAATTAGCTAGAACATGCTATATAGTGTTTATATTGGCTTCATGTTTTACGTTGGCTGCAGAAAGACATATGATACCCCATCTGGCATGAATTCTGTTGGACTAAAGTTACCTCATAACAATTCAGAGGATAAATTTGACTAGGCAGAGTGGTATACCCTGCATCAGTGTTTTGCTGCATGGGGTCACAGCAGTTTTAATCCAGTTCTGGGTACCCTCAAATAAAACTTTCTGCATTGGTACTGCTTAACTGTGCAGGTTTGTGTGATGCTTATGGGGATGCTGCCCTGAAGAGCTGTCAGCACTATTATTTCTTAGACTGCTACTTCAGTAGCTGCTGTGTGTGGACTTGACCTGTAGACTATGTCTTTTTGGAGTGCACCTTCTAAGCAAGATTAAGGTGCAGGTAGGGTGACCTCCTGTTCTGGAATGACAGAACTGGAAGGGATCTCAAGATCTTCTCTAACGCATAGCTGCAACCCTGTCTGTCCTAACAGATAATTGTCTGATAGTTTCTGCACCCTGCACCCTGAGAATCTGTTTCTCAGCAGTAGAAGTTTACCCCAAGGTCTAACTGGGAAAATCCACTGCTGCAGTTTAAACCTGGGTCTTCTTGCCCCATTAACAGTGTTTGAGGGGAATGGTTTTTCCTCTTCCCAAGGCACAGCCCTTTCTCTCTGCTACCCTTTAAAGCATTTGCGCAGCAGGCTCTGCAGTGAGACAGGGAGTGAAGTATGCATGGTGGGAAGCATCCAAAACTTGCTCATATCTGCATTGAGTTTCCAATACTAATCGAGCCATCTGTAACTCATCTTCATGCTTGTGCGTCAACTCATGGAGATATCTTCAGAGCAAGCGAAGCACCGGATCACCGCATGCTTGCATGGACAACAGCACCAGGTTTTGTGGTTGTTGTCCTCATGAGGGGACAGAGCTGTGATGCATGATAAGTTAATAAGAAAAGTATGGTGGTTGTTTACTGCTATGTCTGAACTCTGAAACAGGCTCAATTTGCAACTACAGGAAAATGGTGAAAGCCATAATCCTTGCTGAGACACTAACTACTTTTGAAAACAAGTTGTCTCTCTTTCCATCTGATTTAAATTTGAGAGAACCACTCCATGTCCCAAAGCTGAATGATTTTATCACCTCTTCACCAGCCAGAGTATGTGATGACAGATTTTTTGATCAAACTAAAGAATAACTTTGCTGAGAGATCTCCTAGTTTTCACCCATCTGAGAAGCCCTGATGTTTCCTCAGAATCCCCTCACCCTTTTGCTGCAAAGGTGGCTTGCTCTCGGCACAAAACAGCTGTCTAGGGCTGGAGAGCTGCAACACAGGCTCCAGATCAAGCTTGGAGGTAGGAGCTGCTTTGATTAAGCTCAAAGATGTGTAATTTTTTTTTTTTAAAGAGCGTGCTAACTGCATTCAGCTAGAAGCACTGTTCATGGGATAAAATGTGTAAACCTCATTTAGGATGCTGAAACAGTTATGTTAATTGTATTGCTTAAAAATGTGCAGAGTAAAATAAAATGGGCCTTCTTTCTAGCATGTTCTTCTCCGGAGAACTTCCTGAAAAGCTCTTCCTTGGATTGGTGATTGCGCACCATCTTACAGCCAAAAAGCGCTTGGCAGAAAGGTAATGTGAATGTGACCTTAGACATCAGAAGGCAGCAAAGTACTTGAATGCCAATGCACTTTTCCCAGCTGCTGCTGACAAATTAATTTCCAGGGCAGATGCAATAGCTGATCTGTCTTGGACAAAGGTTTTCCTTTCCACAGCCATGTGCAGTAATGAAAACAGCAGTTTCCAGTGATACTTTCTGCCTGAGAGTAGATCTGTTGCGGACTTCATATCCCCTCACTTAAGCTATCTCCGAGTCCAAACTGGACGGCTTGGTTCCCTCTAAGATCAAGTGTTCAGACTAT